GAGGATGGTATGTGGGACCATGGCCTGGCTGAACTTCAGTCCCCTGAGCGCATCTTGGGCAGAGGACAGGTATCCAGGGAATGTCCCAGCTGGGACCTCCAAGAAGCCCTGTTTTGGTAGTATCTGGGAATACAGCATTCCCATTTCACATACAACTATAATGTGTATGCTCACCTAAATGTGACCCCCAAATTGTAAAATAGGTAATTAATTGAGTAATACTCTCTGGCTAGCATTAGTCCTGAACTTCCTCCACATTCTGTGCAGAACCATGTAAGAAACACTCAATTCTTCAGCCCGTAAATAGCACCAGCTGCCCTGGGTTCAACAAATGAGGGCAAGCCACGGGATCCATCCCCCATGTATGGAGAGGCAGGATGGCAAAAGAGATATCCCAAAAGGTTTTCTCTAGTTGGGTTCTTTGAAAAACACAGGGACACAGGACAATGTAGGGGCATGCATGGGAAATGGCGTCAGAGGTGGGGAGGTTGGTTGGGCCAGGAGGTGGGAAAGCTGGTTTCCACCCAGATACCATTCTAGCTGGTCTCTACATTCTTAGTTTCTCAATCCATCCACTCAAACATACTCATACACACAGAGATTCAAACACACTTGAGCACCTGAAAACCCAATGGAGAGTGGCCATTAGGGAATTATCCTGAGCCTCGATATTCTCACCCAATAATGGGAATTCAACAAGAAAGAGTTCTCTGAGATCTATGATGGTGAGAACTCAAAGCCTCTAGAACTTCCTTGGCATAAAAAGCTCAATTATGTGTCAGCCTAGGCCCAACTAAGGAGCTAGTGTGCCCCCAGGTTTTGTCATTTTGGGACCTTAGAGCTGCATGTTCATATAATATCAATGCATCCAAAGGTAAGGATTAACCACCTTCTTCCCACCCACCCCAACTCCCTTCCTCCTGTTTCCCTCTCATTCGCATCTTGTTCACAAAGCACCATTCTGCCAGAAACCAGAAGTTAAGATTTTGAGAGCAAAAGACAAAGTAGGCTTTTCTCACCTCTCTCCACGCCTCCTATCAGAAGTCACATCTGAGGTCACTGCTGGGTTCTGGAACTTCTCAGATATGGAGGTGGGGAGGAGGCAGGGCTAATGAGGGAAAGCCCACCCTCCAGAGCTAAGCTGGTCTTCAGGAGTAATCCTGAGCCTCAGAGCCCCACGCCTTACCACCCTGGTGGTAGCATTTCAGCATTCTTGGGAGATTCAGTGCCAAGGCCACTCACTGGACTGACCCAGCAAAGCATGTGCTGCCCTAACCTTCTAATACTCTTTGGGAGGGACAGAGGCTCCCTGGAAGGCTCTGGGGACTGAGGCCAGGCTGGCCAGAAGAACACAAGGACTCCTCCCCTAGAGGCAGGAAAGAAGTAAGGCCAGGCCTAGTGGAGAGGAGAGACTTTCCCAATGTCTTTGTCTCATGGCTCCCAGTTATCAAATTCCCCTTAACTTTTCCACAAAGAACTAGACAGCTGCACAGGCCAACTGAGATAGGAGCACCAAATGGATCAAATGACTTTTCCTAAGTCCTTAGTTAATTATCAAAACTGGATCAGGCCAAGACTGGAGAACAAGTGTTATAACCTGTTGCATCTAGAACCTAAGAGACTCCCAGACCATTTAAAGAGTGAGAGGTTTTCCACGAAAATTTAGACTTCTGAAATAACACACTATCTGGCAAGACAAGAGCTTGTGGAAAAGAGACACAGATTTCACAGTGGTAGCACCAAAGTGACAGTCAGTCCCCAACTGGCCACTACACTCATCCTTGTCACCTGCCTGGCCCTTGAGGGCATTTGAGTTCATGACCTCCACTTCTGTACTCATCTGGGCAACTGGTCAGTTATTAAATAAACCACCATTTCTCCTCCAGTCCCCATGGGGCCTCTTGGTCTCGGGTTTGATAGGAAATGTCCTGTCTCCACCAAGAAAAGGTTGATGGTGAACTGCTGCTCAGAGACTTAGGGAAAACGTTTTTTTTGACTTTGAATTATCCCTCTCTTGGCCTCCCCTCACTGATGAAAGTTGGAGAACCTCTAACTTCCTGTCCACGCCACACTCACACTACTGTAAGATCTAGGTCATTCCTAGGCTGGCAACAACACATGCTAACCTCGTTGCTTCAGGATCACACCTGTATATAGGTAATTTTTATATCATCCCCCTTCTTGGTTTTCTCAAAACCTTTTGGAATCAGGGGTTTGGGCTTCATTTATTTCCAAAACATAGGATGTGTTCTCCCATGGAATATCTCTATAAGCAAGAAAAAAAATGCTACTGATGCTATCTTTCCATTTTATTAGAACTTCCCGAGTGTCCCTTTCTTCCGTATTGCGTCAATGAGCTGCTGAATTCTTTGGTTCCTGGTCCTTTCATATGGGATCGGTCGTCGAGGGATGAGGTTGGGGGGCTGGACTTCTTCATCCAGGCCGTGGATTTTGTAGGGTACATCTACGGCATTTGTTTCTGGGTGATCCTCAGTGGCATTTGTGCTGGAGACATTGAGAGGAACACCCAAGGGGGTCCCTGGTGACGGCTGCACCTCTGTGGCTAGGGTGGGCCCCGGGAGGGTAGGCATGAACACATCAATGTCGTTGTGCTTCCCAGGCGGCGGCTCTGCCCCAGCGTCCGGGTCGGTGAGGTTGTCCCGTAGGTTGCAGGACTTGCAGCAGAGTTTGTTGTAGCCTGGGATGGAACAATAGCGAGACAAGACTTCCATCCTACAGAACATTGACTTGTCGCCTTGGCAGTGGCCCTCTGAAAGAGAAAAGTGGGACAAATAACCAAAGGACACGGTGAGGGGGACTCTGTTCCCCCCCACAGTGTGCAGCTTGCTGGAAGAGGGAGCCCAGAGATAGCACAGAGGTGAGGGAGCTCACGCGGAAAGTCTGTGTGGCTTCAGGGTCAGGGTGAGCAGGTGGCATCTGGAGACCCTGCCCTGGCATGATGTCATACAAGCTGTGAGCGGATGCTCCCCTCTTTCAAGCAGGCCCCCAGCTGAATCTGGATTTTTCAGTGTCTCTCCAAAGTTTGAGATGGAAATGGGGCCTGTTGGTTCTTAGGGAGTGATTCCAAGCTTAACCTTAAAGAACTGGCCTTTGTTGGGATCTTCGCATCTGACATCCCTGTGGTGACCCCGGTGGAGTTTTGTGGCAGGGTTTGGTTTTTAGAATAATCTGCAAGTAGTAACTATAACAAATTCAAACTTAAAAGAGCCAGTTCCTGAAACCTAATATGCCAATCCCAGAGTCTCAGCTGTGGCTTCACCAAGCTTCACTGTGGTTCCATCCTGACTCTAACTCTCCAGATGTTTCTAAAGAGTCTCTAAAGAATTTTTTTTTTTTTTAAAAAAGCACTCAAATTTATATGAGCATTTTTAACTCTCACCTGCCTCAACTTACCCAAAGGCATCTTATCCTGCCACTGATGCGTCCGTCCTATGGCCCTTCCAACTGAGTTTCTAACAATTTCTCAAACAAACTTGATGCCTTCTTATAAGGCCCAGCATGTCCTCCCGTTTCCTCTGCACCCAGGAAGCTGACCATTCGTGGTCCAGCTGCATGCAGAGCTCTGACTCTCTGCACTCAGAGGCCACTGCTGTTTCTCTCTCTTTCTGCAAGGCTGTCCTCTCCCTGGCCTGCCTCCAGCCCCATCTGTAGCCATGTTAATTCAGCCTCATAATTTTTCTTCTCACTCTTCACTTTTGTCTTCTTCCCAAAATTTCACCCTCCCTCCCCACCTCCCAACCTCATTCTACGACACACACAAAATGAGAAAAGTTACAGACTTCACTCCATAGAAAGGAGCAAGTCACGTTACAGAAGACTCGTGACCCACTGTAAGTCCAGGACCACTGAGCTCAGGGCTCAGCGCTGCTGCCTGCTGTGGTTCCTGCACAAACACTCCCCACTTTCTAGTGGTGACTTCAGATCTTCCCACCCAGACCTTTCTTCTCTGTCCCCCTAGTTGACCTCTTCTGTTAATCAAGGAAGGAAGAAGGGAAGGGGAGAGAAGGGAAAGAAGGAAAATAGGGAGAGAGGAGGATGAAGTCAGGCAGGGAGGGAAAGATGGAAAGGAGGAAGGAAGATGGGGGGAGAAGGGCCTAGAGAAGGAGGAACAGGAAGAAAAGATGGAAGGAAAAAAGAGCAGGCATCCAATGGAAGGAACACCTGATAGATATTCCATGCTGTCTGCACCTGGAGCCTCTCCTGTCCTGTTGAAACTCCCTGCAGTCACAGTTGAGCAGAGCCTCCTCCCAGTGAGGACCAGGGGTTCTGATGTCCTCCTGCTTCTGCATGGTCACGGCAATTTCCCCTTAGAGGCTGTTGAGCTGCTCACACCAAACTCCTGGAGCTTCCAACTCTTGCATATCCCCTGTGGGTCCCAAAGGTGCCTGAGACTTGACATGTCCAGCTCAAGTTCATGCGTCCACTGGCACTGCCTGCCTCAGTGAATGGTCCTCCAGGCACATAAACCCGATGCCTGGGTGTCCCCTGCTGCCTTATCTCCCCCAGTTCAGTCATGTGTTTCCTCCTAGATGCTCTTCAACATGTCCACATTCCTCTCTTCTACCTCGACCCGATGCCCTGCCTTGCCTCTTGACTGCACCAAGGTCAGAGCCTCCTTTCTTCCTGTATCCATTCTTTCTACCTTTGCATCTAACTATCCCGTTCCAGTCAAAAATGCTGTTTTCTCACTGAAGATGTGGCCATGTCTCCCCCCTGCTTGGACTCCCTTCTCTGTCCGTCATTACTTTCAAGGAAGAGACATTTTCCCCTCATCTCACCAGCCTCATTCAGGCCTCAGACTTCTACTCTGCACTGTGCTCCTCTGGCCACAGGGCCTATGCACATAACTATGTCTCCCTTCCTCCTCTAGCTCTGCTTGTCATGCTTTAGGCCCACCTGAAACACATCTTCCTCAGGTACTGCCTGACCTCCCTTAGGAGGTAAAATCCTCCAGTCTGTGGTCTCATGGTGCCATGCTTTCCTTGCACTGCATCCCAGTTGGGAGGTTCATGTTTCCTTGTCTGATCAGGTGCCTGATTTTTTTTCATCATCCTGAAAGCCCCAAAGGATAGAGCCCCATGCTATATTTAGACGCCCCTCCAGCCCCAAAGCCAAGCACAGTGAATCCAAGAATGCATGGATGCATAAATATGAATTAATTGAGGAAGTTCAAAACAGGGAACTAAGGGATTCCAACTCAGCAAGGTCACAGGCAAGAAGAGCCTATGGAGGCAGTCACCGCCACTGATCCATCCAGCTGTGGCCCCAAGCTTCTAAGTGGCCCAAATAAGGAGGAAACTTGATTGGCCGCAGGCTCCACAACACACAGAAGACAAAAACACATCAGCCTTACAGGAAAAGCCCAGGTCTTCGTAACGCTGAGAACAAGAATCATGCTCACGATATGGAGGGGGAAAAGTCAACGGATTCAGAAACAAGATGGAAGGGCCTGGCCCGTGGCTTTCAGGGTTTTAAAACCAGTAGAAAGCTTTCCTCAAAAAATTTAGACAGATTCCCAGTGTATGAAAGAGTGAGAATCAGAACTGTCCTATTGCAGTTGGAGTGGAGGGGGACATAGAGACCCACCTGCTTCCTTCCCGACCACACTCCTCCTCTTCCCCTCTCAGCAGCCACTGAGATTGAATGGTATGAAAACTGCTGATCAGCGCTCTCCTGGGGAAATGTGTTAGTCAGCTTTGCATCACTATGATCCAAATATCTGACGATAACAACTCAGAGGAGGAGAAGATTATTTGGGCTCGTGGTTTCAGAGGGCTCAATCCATGGTTGGCTGGCTCCAAGGCAGAAACATCATGGCAAGAAGGTATGAGAGAGGAAATCTGCTCAGCTCATTGCAGCTGTGAAGCAGAGGGGGGGGGAGAGGGAAAGGGGCCAAAGATAAACCCTTCCAAAGCACATTCCCAGTGACCTACTTCCTCTAACTAGGTCTCACCTCCCAGTATCCACTCAACTATCAATGAATTAATCCATCAATTTGGATTACTCCACTGATCAAATGGATGAACCCATTGATGCGGTCAGAGCCCTCATGATCCAATCATTGCCTAAAACTCCACTCTGAACCTTGCTGCGCTGGGGACACGAGCATTTGGAGACATTCCAGATCTACACCCTAACAGGACACAAGGAGATTTTTCAAAAAGAGCTGGCTGTCCTGG